AAAAGAAGCCCGGAGCGGCCCGTTTTGAATGCGGACCGGGCCGTTCTGGTTGCATTTTCGGTGTGTTAATTTTGCACATGGAACGGGTCGTTCCGGATGCAAAATTAACACACCAAAAGTGCACCCAAAACGGCCCGTTCCGGTTTCAGAACGGGCCGTTCTATGTCCAGGTGTTTTCAAAAAAATTCTCTTCGTGGCATCCACGTATGCATCTATGTGGCGTCCACGTAGCCAAAAGTTAACACCGTTAAAGCAATTTAGACGGAAAGTCCCACATTGAAACCAATTAATTAATTTGGGACTAAATTGAAACCAATTAATTAGTTTGGGACCAAATTGAGACTTGAGGGACTAAATTGAAACAAAAAAAAATTATAAGAGACCAAAATAAGTTTTTAGCCCTTTTTTTTATCAATTTGGACTGGGCTGAATATTTTTAACCCAAACCCATTCTGTACTTGGGCTTAGTTTTAACCAATTTAATAACTATCTCAAATGAAAGATATATGTATTAAAAAAAAAATGAGATAAAAGATATGTACGATTCATAATTTTTCTTTGTAGATAACATTGCTTTCTATCGCTATCTTACATATGTGCTATGTCCAATATCAGTAAGAAACGACTTTATCATATTCATATATGACGAATTATAACAGAGACGCATATAATATTAGTAACACCTATTTTATGTCTTGCACTTCTGCTTGACTTGTACAGTTCCACAGAGCTTATATGCGTGAATTGTTAAATTATTGATGAGTAATTTATTTTAAACAATGGAAAAACAAATATAAATTAAAATCTTGTTTAATATGTAATCGTGAAAAATGTAATGTTTTAATTTTGTTTATCATATTCTTTTCTGATCCTATTTACTTTAAAACCTAATAACATATGAAATGAGAAATCTAAGATGCTCGTTGAATTGGACTTGATCCAGGTTGCTGAAGGGGCAAGAGCCAGAGGTGCATCCAAAATAATAGGTGTGGACATCAACCCAGACAAATTCATCAAAGGTAAACTAACTTCCTCTCAATTGTTGTTGATTTTCATCTTAATCTTTTTCATTGATTTTGAAAGTTTCGATTAGTTAAAAAAATACTTTAAAAACATTAAGTCTTAGGTTCTATTTAGATATTTTTTTCCCATAAACTCTTATAAAAAAGATAATAAGAAAAATAAATTAATTTAATTCTTTTATAAGTTGAAATCAACTTACTATGTGTTTAAAATCAAATAAAAAAAATGTGAATTAAAAGCCTCTCTCTACATCCAACAAAAACAATAAAGAGTAGCTTCTTCATCAATTTATGTGATTCTAACATAAATGTGGATTTTGGATGTACATCTAAACATGTCCTTATATACTTAATTAATGCCAACAAGTCATTAGTACAAGTGGTATCACCCTTTAATAAGATATTGGATTCAAATCTTGTGTTTAAAAATAACATGTAATTGGTAGAAAAGACCACACTAAAAATAGATAATCAAGTTTTCGACAAAAATTAGTTATTGATTAAGTTGATAAATATTTCATACTAATAATATGATTTGTGAAATAACTTTCATGATAAATTCAATTCATTTTACCTTTTTCCTATCCCTTGTAAATGATAAGAGGACCTCAAACTTTTTTCTGCTAGTATAATGACTTTAAAATTTCCATTCTATTAATACTCTTTGTGCTCAAAGCCCAAGCTATGGGAGTTACACACTTCATAAACCCAAAGGATGAAGAGAAGCCAGTGTACGAGGTTAGCGTTTTCTGTCCCCTCATTTCACAAAAGAGAAATATCATACATGCATTCATTTTCACTATAAGGTAATTTATTTTGCAGAGAATCAGTGAATTGACTGATGGAGGTGTACACTACAGTTTTGAATGTACAGGAAATGTGAACGTTCTAAGGGATTCCTTCTTGTCTGCTCATAAGGTATATTGCTGTATTCAACCAGCTAATGATTCAAGCTAGTTAAACCCTTGTTTATGGTTCTAGTTTCATTGCTATAATTAATATTCCAACTATTCTTCATAAAAGTGTTCCTCATTTGAAAGCAAAGATCAATTTCAAATTCATTACATAAGATTTTATAGTTAAAAATCGTAACCTTACACTTTCAAATTTCGTGTCAATTTCTGTGACACAGGGTTGGGGATTGACTGTAGTATTGGGAATTCATTCATCACCAAAGTTGCTTCCCATCCACCCAATGGAGCTCTTTGATGGTCGCCAAATTGTAGGATCAGTATTTGGAGGTTTCAAAGGGAAAAGCCACTTGCCTCATTTTGCCACACAATGTGGACATGGAGTAATCATCCATCACTACTTGAAAATTCTTTTTTATAAAGAAGAGTCTTGATGATAAAATAATGTTAATATTTTATTTTATTATATTATTCAGATTACCGGAACTCATGCATGCACTAATATTTATTTGTTATGGCATTTAACTAACCGTTTAGGTGGTGAAGCTGGATAATTTCATCACTCACGAGCTACCATTTGAAGAGATAAACAAAGCCTTCGATCTTTTGATCGCTGGGAAGTCGCTGAGATGTCTTTTGCACTTCTAAGAAAAGATGCCCTTTAGAATGGTTATGATAGTTATGATCTGAATTGTTCAATAGGAGCATATCTAAATGAGTGTGCTGTGTAGCAGTCTAAGAGAGGGGTTCGGGTGCTTTTGAGCAGTGTACTGCAGAGAAGAAAGAAAATAAGTGGAAGTGTATTCAAGTTTGTTCACCTATCATTTGATAATAAAGAGTGAGAGTGTGTTGTACTGCTGCTTTTTCGTTATCTATTTGCAGCCTACAATAACAACTTGGTAGACAATTAAATAAGAACCAGTCTGATACCACCATATGCACAGATGAAAATGGTAGGTGATATGAAAAGATTTTGTAAATAACATTTTTTTTTCATATTCTATCACCAAGTTAAGCAACACATCCCCGAAAAATTACAGCTAATAATGAAATCATCAAAAGAATATAGCATTTACAGCGCACCTAGCAAAAACATATATTCTACAAAATTTCAGCCAATGGATGCAGAAGCATTGGCAGACGGATAATATCATCATCACTGTCCGCAGATATAGGCTAAAGTAATACCCACAAATAACGACAAGTTCTATGGTGACTAGCATTAATTCCACAAAAATTTTCAGGGAGAAAACTGGTTAAAACAATAAAAATCCTAAGTTCAGTATTCATTGATTGTTAGTGTTCTTGTGTTTGTTGCGATTTTCCTCTGCAATTGTTTGAAATTCTTTCTCACTAGCAGCAAGTAGGCGCTTAACAATGTCATATGTGGTAAGCTTGATGCTGTAGAGAGAAAAAGGAAGATATAAGAAACTAATGACAAGCAAGCATAAAATTTTAGGAGTCAAAAAGGAAAATCTGTAATGAGCATCACTAAAAGGTAACAGGGTTATTATAAATAATGGATGAATAGTAGATCCCAGGAACCTGCTGTTAGGTAGGGATTTTAGAGCGTTTGGCACAAATCCCCGATACAAACCAGCAACTCCATCACGTGCCACAATACCTGCATCAACAAAAGTATAAATTTGTTCATTATCCAATCTACAGAAGCATACAAATACAAAAGAATCCCATTATTTAAATAAACTCCATCGTTATGGTCAACTGATTTTAGTTTGAAGGGATTTGGTAGGACAAAAAATAATTAATACTCGTCCTCACGCCTCACTAAATGAAGGCACCAAAGAACTCCCACAAACTAAAAGTAGACATAATAACTGCTTGCTTTAGCAAACGTCTACAAAGTTCCCTTCATATGTTATAATACAAAAATTCAAATAACTTACCATCAAGTGCACCCTCCCAGCAATTCTGAATGTATAAATACTATTGTGTCATATTACAACCGTGATTATAAACATAATGGGTAAACTTTCAATGTTAAAAGTAAAGAAAAACAATTACTAGACAGACAAATACGTTGGTAATCTCAGCCTGTTAAAGTAACCGTCAGTAAAGAGTATTGATTCCTCCCAATTCACAAATATATAAGGGATCAGTTACAGTCAATGGCCGACTTAACTGCTTTAGTCAAATGGATAAGTATTTAGTCAAAAATGGGAAGATTCTTAAGGTATTGCACTTATACATGTCTTTCTAATGATATGTTTGATTTAGAGAAGTGAAAGGAAAGAAAAGGAGTAGAAAGTGAAATAATTTTATAGGTTGTTTGGTAGGAAAGAAAGATAAAACTTTTCATTCTTGTTTAATTGTGTAGAAAGTAAAAGGAAAGAAAATAAATACATGTATAAAATAACATAAATATACTTAAAATAGCCTTTCCTTCTCTTTTCTGTCCAGCTTTGGACGAATGAGAAAAGTTAGTAAGTCACATTTTTTTTTCTTTTCTTTCACTTTTGATAATACTCCAAACGGATGGAAGGAGCATATCACAGGCTTTTTTCCGTTCCTCTATAATCCATCCTTCCAAACTCCAGTTTCAGCCTTTCCAAACAAAGCATAAGGAAATATAAATTCAAAGCACCGACAAGGTGACTTAATTATTGCAGCTACAAACCCAATAACTCTGGTCCAAAGAATAAAAGTAGAAACAATGTTACAATGCAGAAGCCAGAATTTTTAATATATTTCCCTTGTGAACTTCTGCATTCTGATGAATGGTGTCAAATAACGAATACGGCTTAGTTGTCACTAATGTGCATGCAAATCAAGTTAGTGTGAGTGACTATATATTGTTGGTGCTAAAAGGTAAGCAGGAGCAATCCTCACCTGAAAGAGCATCTACTACTGTTTTATAAGGTGTACCCTTCAGTTGCATCTGTCTTCGCACAGTGTCCAGAGGATAGCATGTAAGTGTCGCAAGAGATGCCGAAAGGACAGCTGTGAGTATAGATGTTTCAGTTCTCTTTTGATATTTCTCAGGCAATGACTTCTTTAATCTATCATCCATAGGAAGTAAGGATGTGTCAATTTCAACGGCCAATATCCAGTGTCTCAATTTAGTTTAAAGAAATAAGATTATTAATGAACTTACAAGTCAAAAACACAAAAGTTCACTGCAATATAAGGAGCTATTGCAATAAGAGAAGGCCCAAGGCCCTGGTAGAAAGATGCAAATCCTTCCTCCCTTAGCATGCTCAAGGCAACCTGGAGAAGCCACAAAATGATTCATCTTCACGAAGGCAGATCTTGCATAAATACTAAATCAGTTCAAGCATACCTCTGACATGGTCCGATAACCAGGTTCAACAGCTAATCGCAATCTTAGAACATCTAATGGGTAAGTTATCTACATGGATAATTAGACATATTAATAAAAGAAGTGAGCAAGATATAAAGAGATATCAGCTGTATTATATAAATATCTGTAACAAAATACAAGAACACTACAACCTAATGAAACCATAAAAGCAACAGCCCTCTGATTACTTACGAAAGTGGATGTCATTCCAGCAAAAGCACCTGCTGCAAGTCTTCCCACAACAGAGAGTTCACCATTCTGTCCCCTGAATATTTTCTGTGAATACAAAATTAGATATTCAGACATGAACAGGTAATATTTGCTATTAGAACTTTGGATACAATAGTTTGGGGTAACCTTATAAATTTCATAAGCAAATAGCTGGACAGCACTGTAAGGTACAACTCGAATCACCTGGAATATTAAAGAAGAAACACTTACACAAATGAAAAGACTGGTCAATATTATGCAGTATAAGTACAGAAATATCAATAGAGTCTTTCCTTATTGTACAGACCTGGGGGAGGTTTCCCTTCCAGTAACCTTGAATGCCTTCTTCTTTC